ACCCGACCTCCAGTCAGCAGAGGAAAAAGGACACCAGACTAGGAGGAGACTCTATGGTGGGGGGAACCGGACTTCCAGTCAGCAGAGGAAAAAGGATGCCACACTAGGAGGAGACTCTATGGTGGGGGGAACCGGACTTCCAGTCAGCAGAGGAAAAAGGACGTCACACTAGGAGGAGACTCTATGGTGGGGGGAACCGGAATTCCAGTCAGCAGAGGAAAAAGGACGTCACACTAGGAGGAGACTCTATGGGGGGGGGAACCGGAATTCCAGTCAGCAGAGGAAAAAGGACGTCACACTAGGAGGAGACTCTATGGTGGGGGGAACCAGACTTCCGGTCGGTTCCAGAATTGAATGGGAGGCTTCCATTTAGGACCTTTGTGGCTCTTTGAGTGTTTAAGATTGCCGACTCCTGATATAGACAAAGTAATTAACCATGGTTAGCTGGAAACGCTACTGAGAGTAATTATGTTACTGTGGAAAGCTTTCAGACTCCACTGAATGTTTGCTTTCTCCTTAGCTCCATGATGTCAAACCTATGGCATGTGTGCCAGAGGTGGCACGCAGAGCCCTCTCTGTGGGTACGAGTACCATCACCAGCTGCTCTTCTGGTTTCCAGCGTGCATGTGGCTGTTTTGGGGGCTATTTTCAGGCCATTTTCCGGGCTATTTTCAGGCCTTTTTTTGGGCTAAAAATGCCCTAAAAAACAGCCTGAAAAGGGCCCCAAAATGGCCTGAAAACAGCCCCCAAAATGGCCAAAAAAAGCAGGCATGCAGTGTACCAGCCAGTTGGTCTTCAGGTTTCCAGTGCTCCGGCACGCGCACATGCACGGACATGCACACGTGTTCCATTTTGGGCACTCTGTGCTGAAAAGATTTGCCATTACTGGCTTAGCTCCATGGAGAGGAACTTTGGGTGGGTAGAATGCCACAGGGAACAATATGCCATGCTCCGTTTGCTTTCCCTCTTGCTTGCATAAAGTTTGGTGCAAACTGATCTGAATTTTGTAGGATGTGTAACAAAGTCTAGTTGCAAAATAACACTATCACACATTCTCTTGGCAAACTCCTGACTTGTACGAAACATTCATAGCAACACGTCCTTGTTGCACTGCATTTTCTTCTGTCCTATTTTTCTGACTGAATAATCTCACTGCCCATTCCTGCTATCTTTGATCCTGTCAACTGCAGTCCAGAAGGCAGAAACCATCGGAGATCCCACAGCAGCTACCATCAACCATTCACACTTGCTGCTGAAGCGGCTTCAGGAGCTTCTGCTCAATGGGAACACCAGCGACACCACCCTGAGGGTCCACACGGCTGGCTCTGACGAAATTAAAGTCTTTCACGCCCACCAGCTGATGCTCAGCTTACAAAGCGAGACCTTTGAGACTCTGTTGCTGAACCAGACAGTGCTTGACTTGCACGAGCCACTTGACAACGTGGCCCTTTTTGAAAAGTTCATCAGGTAAATGGGCGGTGGCCTGCTCCCCATACAGAGAGGAAGGGAAATTCCACGGATTAGAAAATTAAGTCTGTGAATTGTTTTCATTGACTCCATGCAAGGAGGGGCGCTGGATTTCTGAAGGCAGAGTTTGTCTTTCAGATCATCTTCCCTTGTGCCTACGGACCTTGTTGACAAGACCTTGAATGAAACCTTGTCAGCGATAAACAGGTCTGAGAAACACGGCTTGCTAAGATGTGAAGGGCTTTTCCGCATGGCTCACTAACCATAGTATAACACCATCCTGCTTGTTCTAGGGCTTATAAGCGCAACCCTGGGTTCAACTCTACCTCCTGGCCAATTGTGAAACAGCTTACACTCCTCTTGGCCTCTTCCAGAGCTTCCCACCTTTCACTTGCTGTTTAAAGCCTTGAAGGGAGTCATACAGGGGTGGGCTTCAAAATTTTAGCAAGGGGTTCTCTGTCAGGTTGCTTTGTGGGTGTGGCCATGGTGGGCGTGGCCTAGTCAGCCTCCTGCACTACAGCAGGGGGGGGGCATTTTTGCCATCCCCGGGCTCCAGAGGCTTTCCTCGAGCATCCGGGAGGGCAAAAAAGGACTCCCCAGGCTCCAGAAGTCCCCTGGAGGCTGGAAACAGGCCCATTTCTGGTGTTCCAGAACTTCTGATAGGTCTGTTTTTCACCCTCCCTGAGCCTCCATGGGTGCCCTGCACTTACCTGCATCCAAAATAGGCCGCGTGGGAACTCCTGCGGGTGGGGGTGTGGGTGGGGGTGGGGGTGGGCAGGGCAGGGCCAGCCAGGAGTGGGATTTGGGGATTCTTAAAACTGCACAGAATCTTAGCTAGAGGTTCTCCCAGACCCCTGCGAACTCCCAGCAGCCCACTGCTGGAGTCATATTGATGTAAGCTTGGGATGCGGACCTGCCCTCCTGTTACCTGCTTGAGATTGCTGCAAGCATTTTCTCTTGCTGGTCATTTGTCACCATTTTTCCAGTACCGTTCTCTTTTAGGCAGCAGGAAAATGAGGAATCTTCTGCTGTACTGAAAGGTTATCTGTCCCATTTCTATGACCAATTGAATCAAACCTGGCAGCTCAACTCTAGATTACTAAGGCTTAGAGAAATAGCAAGAGAAGAGTTGGGGAGGTGGGGTAGGGAAGCAGTTCTCTTCTTTAAGCTTGGGATGGCAGATCTGCTGGGAGAAAGGAAGCGAGATAGAAGTGGCTCTGTAGCCACCATAGTAAAACTGCTCCTTCCCGCTTAAGCAGAATAAGCACAGCAATATCAATCACATGTGGATGGCTGGATGATTTCTTTTTTAAATGCCCAGCAGTGGACACATATTCAGATTTGATACTTAGAAGAAATGAATACTACTTGTACTACTACTTGCGGTGCTGAATTGACTAGGGGATTGTGTAGATGGCTAAAGAGATAAATCCCACCATCTCTTTTGTCCCCATTAAATGGGAAGTTTTGTTGTAAAATATAAGCAAGATGATTATTTAACTTGGCATGAAAAACGGATTCTCATTGCCTTCTTTCTCTAGGTATCTGTATTGTGGCGAGGTCTCCATATTCCTCCATGAAGCCATCCCACTTCACCGTCTAGCCAGTAAATACCATGTGTCCAGTTTGCAGCGAGGGATAGCTGAGTATATGAGGGGCCACTTGGCTAGTGAATCGAGCCAAGGCCATGTAGTGGGATGGTACCATTACGCAGTGGGGATTGGTGACGAGGCTCTGCAGGAGAGCTGCCTCCAGTTTCTGGCCTGGAACTTCTCTGCTGTCATGAGTAGTCCTGAATGGGCCTCTGTAAGCCTAGATTTGCTGCTACTATTGCTTGAAAGGTCTGACCTAGTCCTCCAGAGTGAATTGGAGTTGTACGCAGGCATAGAGAAGTGGATTACCACATATCAGCCTGAGGACCCTGTAGTGGAGAAGATCCTGAGATCCCTGCGTTATCCTATGATCTCCCCCAACCATCTTTTCCACCTGCAGAAACAGTCTCCTGTGATGGTGAAACACTACAGCACTGTGCAAGATCTGCTCTTCCAAGCCTTCCAGTTCCATTCAGCTTCCCCAATCCATTTTGCCAAATACTTTGACATTAACTGCAGTATGTTCCTGCCCCGTAACTACCTCTCCATCTCTTGGGGGTCCCAGTGGGTCATTAATAACCCTGCTCGAGATGACCGTAGTACCAGTTTCCAGACCCAGCTGGGCCCCAGCAACCATGATTCTGCCAAAAGAGTGACATGGAACGTCCTCTTCTCTCCTCGCTGGCTCCCGGTGAGCCTGCGTCCTGTCTATTCCGACTCGGTCTCTGGTGCCATCCAACCTATTAGAATCGAGGATGGACGTCCCCGTCTGGTTATCACTCCAGCCACAACCAGTTCAGATTTTGCAGGTGTCAGTTTCCAGAAGACTATTCTGGTGGGCGTCAGGCAGCAGGGTAAACTCTTTGTCAAGCACACCTATAACTTCCACCAGAGCACAGATGAAGTTGTCGATTTCCTGATATATGCTGACTTGCAGAAACGCACCTCTGAATACCTGATTGACAACTCTTTGCATTTGCATATCATTGTCAAGCCCGTCTACCACTCACTCATCAAGATCAAAAAGTAGAAGGAAGATGGAGGAGAGACAGCTGGACACAACATGGGGAGAGAACCGCTGGTTGCATTGGAGGATAGCACTGACTCTATTATTCAGTATTAAAGTGTCTGACGCAGGCTCTCTCTCTCTCTGCGTCTTAAGTTGTATTGGCCCTGTTGGAGAAGCTGAGAATTCATTGTATAAAAGAAGCTTCCTTTGAATCTGAGGACTTTGTTTTCTAGAGGGAATTAATCAGGGAGTGGAAGGTTCTCTTGTCTGTCTTTCCATTGTTTTAAGGTTTTATCTCCCTTCAATTTGAAGAGACTCAGGTAGAACTGGAGATTCTCATGGTGCTTTTGAATAGGTAATTATCAAAGATGTCACATAGCAAAACCATTTTTTTGTCTTCCTGGCCTAATTAGAAGCTGCCTTATGTTCCCCTTGTTTCCCCAAGAGGTTTTGTTCCCTTGAGATAATTACAAACGGATACCCTGACAGAAAAGGTGTGGGGTTATTCTTCTGTCTATCTTCAGATCTCTCCTTGTTTCCTCTAGTACTTTAGATTACCAACTGCAGGGAATTTCCATGGAGATAATTCGTTGTGTGTGAATTAGGATGTAGTTCCCTGAATCAGTTGAACATGGTTCTGCAATATGGATTTCTGCTAGTTTTGTATTGGAAGTGTTATTGTTATTTGATCTATTTTCTCCTTAGTCATGGAGATTCTGCAGATTTTTGAAACCCTATAAAGTTCTGCAAAAAAAAAAAATCCATTATTTGTCCTATGTCTACTGCTACTGTCCGTAGCTTTTTAAACAGAATTTACTAAGCTTTTTGAGATTGGAATTGTAAGTCTTATGTGGAATAGGAAAGGTGACTAAAATTTTACAAAACTGGTTGAAACACAGGCCATAAAAACCATTATTTTCTTTAACCCTGTGTGATTGTGTGTATGTGAACTAATGGCCGGACAATATCTTTTCAGCCCTGTGCAAATCAGAAATGTCTATCATAGCTACTTCCATTAAAAAAAAACTCTAATTCAGATTAAGATCCCCATCTCCTAATATGACATATTCTAAATAATCTTAAGTAACTACTGCAAAAAAATAATAATAGTGGGCACCACATTGCTTACTCCTGGTTCAAAACTTTAATCACTATTTAAAAATGGCAAATGTGGTGAGCTAGTCTTCTCACCATCATTGTTCCTTCTCTGTAATATTCTCCTAATTAGAGTACAAGACAACATGGCTAGATGGTGCCTGTGGGGCCTTTTTAACATGATAAATAAAAAAAACACAAACCCAATCTTTTTAAGTATACATACATCATGATATCAGAATATCTCTTCCCAGACTTTTACTATTATCCTTACCAAGTGTGAATTGATGGTGTATTTCTTGACTGCTGGTTTTACAGTCAGTACTAAAATGCAGAAGTCATCCACTTTCAACGTCTTCATTGTTGTTCTAGGGCTAGTTGTGGTGTTTGTTGTCATTTGTTTGGTGTTTTTTAGATGTAATCATTCTTTCACTATGTGCCTTGGCTTTCATTACTAGGGGTCCCAGATCCTTTGCATTGCCTACCTTTAGAATAATGCCATCAGCACTGTACTTGGATTTCAAAATCATGCTCACCTTCTTCAATCCAACTTCTCCTGATATATATTCAACATGTAAGTTGACTAAATAAGGAAAGAATATACAGCTTTGTCCGTCTTTAAGTCAGACTTATACAGCTTTGTCCGTCTTTAAGTCAGACTTTCATCTGGATTGTGGCTTCCTGTCCTATATTTACATGAAATGAAATGAAAATGTCCTATTTTACATGAAATGTTCTGGAATTCTTATTTTTTTAAGGACCTCCCACAGCTTCATATGGTCAACAAAGCTGAGGCTCTTCCTGAAGCATATTGACCTTGGAATTCTTTGGTTTTCTCAAAAATCCAGCAATGCCTTCCAAGAAAAAAAAAAGCTTGAATATCTGGCATCTCCCTTTCCATGTACAGCTGTAATCTGTATTGGATTATATTGTTTATTATATATTGCTAGCATGAGAAAATAAGAATTTACACACTCTGTTAATTCTCCTTTCTCTTGTAGACTGTATGTTTTCAATCTGTTAGCCACTGGATCATTTCCTAGAATTTGCTGGCACAATTTGATCAAACATTTATTAATTCTTCTTTGCTTGCATTATTTCTGCAAATACACCATTAATTCCAAGAAACTGCCAAGGTTCTTTTTTGTAAAATCAGAATATCTTCTAGCAATATTATTATTTACTCGGTAAATGACCAGCAACATAAAATAATAAATAGGGTATAGAAGATAACAAATACAATCAGGATCAATAAAAAGAAATAAGTACAATTATATATTGGCAACTATAAAGTAAATCAAATATGGTATACTCTGGATATCCCTAAGACAATAATATTTATTTACCTAACATTAATAAATCTAATATATTAAAGTTATACCCTAAACTAAATGTCCTCTACAATTATTTAAAAATAACTGAATAAGATGTTGATGAAAATAGATGTCTTTATTTCTTTAATTGGCTTTCCCTTATTAACACTTTGGGAGCATAAAATTTGACTACTGCACGAATGGTGGCTGGATTTGAGTCTTTCAAGATGTGTTGGATGTTGACAACCTTAGTGTGCAGAATTTCAGAAGTTCCAGCTTTGATCTTACTTGAACCCGTTACTGCTGTCCACTGACTTCCTTCAGCATGCTAATTTGAGAGCTGGAAGATTTCTTGGATGACTCTGTTGTCTGTGTCTGTTTTTAATGTCTTTATTTGTATAGATGTAATACTGCTTCTTGTCTCTTCTCAATGGTCTTTAAATTTTATTTTATTTTATTTCCTCTTGATATCTTCATCTTTTGTGTCTTTATCCAATTCCAGACCATTTTAATTCATTGATGTGTAAGACATCAATGTGTAGTTGAATCGTTTAATCTTTTTCTATGTTGAGTTTCCCTGTCTTTGTGCTATTTCCACTGTAATCTTGCCTTTAGCACAACCTGCATGACTAGTGACTAAATGACAGGTACCCAGCGAACTTGGTGACCAGTAGAAGAGCCAGCGCTTTCCAAAGACGTCTCCGTGGTCATGTGGCTGGCATGACTAAATGCAGAATGCTGTTACCTTCCCACCAAAGGTGGTCCCTATTTTTTTCTACTTGCATTTTTTACATGCTTTTGAACTGCTAGGTGGGCAGAAGCTGGGACAAGTAATGGGAGCTCACTCAGTTATGATTCGAACTGCTGACCTTTCTGATCGACAAGCTCAGCATCTTGCCACTGAGCCACTGCGTCCCTAACAGAAAAAGTTACCAACTGGAAAAAAATGAAGTAAGATTTTTTTAAAATAAATAAATAAATGGGAAAGTTGGAATGACGAAAGCAACCGGATCTTGTGGGGAAATCTACAATAATTAGAATTAGGCAGAAAACAATCTAGACAGGGAATATATATATAGTTAAATATATTGAAATTATTTGCCTTAGAATGATGCAAAAGTACAGCAAATGCACACAGCATATCCTCTTATTGACAGGTTACACCAATGCTGTGGCACTGTGTCCTCCTCTAACACATAGTTTAAAAACTAAAGAGTTGTGCTTGCACAATGACCGATCTTCCACGACTCTCTTGGTATTACAGCACTGGATATATTTGGTGATAGCCTTCTGCATCACTCATCCAGACAACTACTCATTTCAATTTGGGGGAACCTAGTCCTGGAGATTAAAAGTTTTTTTGTGGCCAGAAAAATCCTCTTGGCAGCAGCACAGCAACCCTACCAGGCAAGCTTGTAGGCCTTCTGTTCAGGTTAGCTATTTCCCTCTAATGCCTTTAGCCACAGGGTCCTGACTGGCCATCCAATGCACCTCCCTGGAGCATCTCAACTTCCCTGTGTCCCTTCAGAGCTTAACATCGCCGGTTCTTCCCATCTTTGCCAGGAGGGTTTGTCCCATTCACTGTGACATAGTTCAAGCGTGGAGGGTATTGACTGGGTTGGCTCATTTTCTTGGAGACGCCACTTTGATGGGAAGCAACAGAAAGAGAGGAGGCCTCGCTGGGACCTGAAGGAATAAAACCAGAAATGAAAAAAAAGGGCAATCATTAGGGTTTGTATATGGCTACATCACAAGCTGGGGAATAACTGCATAGCCCTTTAACAGTTATCATTCCTTAGGCTGACCTTCAGTACAGCTGTGCCATCCCCCAAAATCAATCAATAAATCATCAATCAATCTCTGTCATCTCTCTCTGACTCTCGCTATCTGTCTGCCTGCCTGCCTGCCTGCCTGCCTATCCATCCATCCATCCATCCATCTATCCTGTCTCTC